GGATATTAATATGAATGCATTATCGCGTCATCTGTTTTGAGAAATTTGAACTATTTTGCGTTTGAATCCTTTCAAATTAAATCAATTTTCTACTACACTTACTGCAAATTCTATATACAGTTACGAGCGTCATTCCTCATCAGTCGTCTCTGTCACCGTTTGCTTTTTTTTTGGAATGGCGCACTCCTATTGGTTGGCTACGATCACGCCGCCTTTGCCCCCCCCCCCCCCATCATGCCTCCCCCACTCGCTCTTTCGTTTTTGTAACTATTGTTTTGGAGCGGGTCGCTCTTTAAATAAATGCATATATTAGTTAATAACTAAATGGAATCCTCTCTTTCCTTTTCCCAGTATGAGACGCCTACGGAAGCCAACAGTACATAGACAGATAAAGCACATAGGCTATAGTCATTAACTAATATATGCATTTATATAAGGCGCCAATTTATAATTGTAACAAATAGTATTTGAATAAAAATATTCAATCGGGTAAAACACGGGCGTTGCCCGGGTCATTCGGCTAGTGTAATATAATGGGAAGGCCTGGCTCATCAGTAGTGAACCCCCCATGCGGTTTCGCTATTATAATCTACCATTGATAGATAGATAAATCAGTAATATTTTAATTCTCGAATGTGTATCAGAGGTTCAAGTTTCCCTATTGATAACGTATTGAGATCTACTCACCTTTTACCTTTATTCCAATCAATATGTCATCGATGTTTCCCAAGAAAGCGATCGACCGAACTTGTCCAGTTTGTCACATGTCCAGGTACCTCAATACTGCTGATGACCACTGTCTGGGACAACTACACTGACCTAAATTTATAGTAAATACTTTGTAATTTTGAAAACAATTCACAAAGTATCTTTTTATATGACTATGTATAACATCTATAGTAATATAATGGTAATATACCCAAGATCATTTGTTGGTTGGGAATTGATTCAGGAAAAATAAAGCCATATCAATCAAAAATTTATTTTTATTAATCATAAAAAATTGTGAAAAACGTTTAAAATTGCAAAATATTTCCTCACCAGCACAGCTTTCAAGTGATAATCTCTCTTCAACGGGTTTAATAAAACAATATCGACTATATCTCTAAAGAAATATTTACAAATGCGCGCAGCGTGGATATTTACAACTGAAATTTTAAAATTGAAATGTAATTTAATAATATTATGGGATATATCTATTTTCATTTTTAAGGCAACCAGAACCTATAAAATTGATCTATTGTTATTTTCTGATATATCTAAGGTATTGTGATGGTATCTTCCTGTTTATGCTGTTATATTCATTGGAAATGAGAGATTCTAAAAGTAACGTTTGATATTTGTTCTTAACTTCCGACGTTACAATGACCTGATGCCATTCCCCTGAAAAGAGTGTCAGAAAGTGTCACAGCAACGTAGGGAGTTAAATAAATCATTGATTAATGTGACTATATATTTCTGATTATTAGTAAAAATTAAAATATTGTCGCGGAGATAAATAAAGCAAGGACAAGTTTGGGAATAATTAATTTATTATAAGGGGTATTTATAGGGAGAGAGAGTGTACAACTTACCCCAAGTTAAAGATAATCCTAATGAGCGGCGTCAGCCACCGTCCCGTTTTCCTTATTTACAGATCAGCTTCCGAGAACCCCTCACACCTGTGGTCCCCCCCCGGGGTCCAGGGATGATTGACAGGTGTCCCATTTGGATGGAACTTCTTGACAATATTATTGAGGCAAATGCAAACTTATTATTCAGAACTATTCACATACACTCTCTTTTTAAAATCCCCTTCTAATATGGGTTAGAAAATGAGATGTATAAGAAATTTGAACTGTTTTTAACGCGTATGTTTCTTTAGAAAAATGTTCCACTGTTCTTACTGCAATGATAACATAATGGAAGGATCTGGCTCATTACATGCGAACTCTTCAAACGGTTTATTCAGTTTAATATAACATACCTCTGTAATTTAACCCAATGTGTTCGCAATATTAGAGTGGTATAGTAGATTAAACAATTCGTAAGTCTGGGAGGGTTCGCAACTGATTAGCCAGGCCCTCCCATTAATATATCATTCCAATAAGGCATTTTAAAATTGCTTTATTTCTAAAATATTCATACACGTCAAAAATATTTTTTATACCAGATGGCGCGCTTATACATCATGTTGAAATTTTTGTAAATACATTCTAAACATTCTACAAAATCTGGATTTCTAATGTTTTCATGCGTTGAATAATGTAAATAACTTATGTAAATAAAATTTTATCCTTGTTTGGTGCACGTATCCGTTGCGGGATATAGCGCTTTGGAAGTAAAATAATTGTAATTGTAATGTTGAAAAGTAAATTGTCTTCAAATTGAAACGAAAAGTTAGTTGAATATTTCTTTACTTTTATTATAAAACCCTCACATCACAATATTCTATACAAATACGTGACTCAAAAACAAGAAATTCAAACCTTATTATAATATATAGAAATTGTTGATTCTAAATACAATATTTTGGAGTCATTAAAAATTTAGTCACGTCAACCAAAGATTCATTCAACTCCCAACATATCAGATACTTCCTGCCACTCTTCTTAGGGGATGATTATATTCATAAGTAGAACTAGGATTCAAAATAATTACTCCTTTGAGGAGAATGACACGAAGTTATATAGATATACTGTAAGGTCAGGAGTTAAATAAATCATTGTTTGATGTAGCTGTGTTTTTTACTGAATCAACTTCCAACTAACAATGATGTTTGGAAATATTTTAGACTATTTATTGAAGGATTTGAATAGACCGGTAAAACGATTTGTTATTAATATTTATTGAGAATAATAACACAAACATTATTTTAACATTTCTTTTTATTATACAATATAAAAAAGGAGATTTGTGGAGAAACTGATACAACGCTACTTCATGTCAGAAAACGGATCCCTCTAAGAATCTCCATCTTTGAAAATATTTTGGACTATTAATTGAGGGATTTGAATAGAGGGGTAAAACGATTTGTTATTAATTTTTATTGACAAAAATAACACAAACATTATTTTAACCTAATTTTTAATATACAATATAAAAACAAGGAGATTTGTAGATAAACTGATAAAACGCTACTTCATGTCAGAAAACGGATCCCTCTAAACATCTCCATCTTTGAAAATATTTTGGACTATTAATTGAGGAATTTGAATATACTGGTAAAACGATTTGTTATTAATATTTATTGAGAATAAAATAACAAACATTATTTTAACATTTATTTTTATTATACAATATAAAAACAAGGAGATTTGTGGAAAAAACTGATAAAACGCTACTTCATGTCAGATAACAGATCCCTCTAAACATCTCCATCTTTGAAAATATTTTGGACTATTAATTGAGGAATTTGAATATACTGGTAAAACGATTTGTTATTAATATTTATTGAGAATAAAATAACAAACATTATTTTAACATTTATTTTTATTATACAATATAAAAACAAGGAGATTTGTGGAAAAAACTGATAAAACGCTACTTCATGTCAGATAACAGATCCCTCTAAACATCTCCAACTTTGAAAATATTTTGGACTATTAATTGAGGAATTTGAATATACTGGTAAAACGATTTGTTATTAATATTTATTGAGAATAAAATAACAAACATTATTTTAACATTTATTTTTATTATACAATATAAAAACAAGGAGATTTGTGGAAAAAACTGATAAAACGCTACTTCATGTCAGATAACAGATCCCTCTAAACATCTCCATCTTTGAAAATATTTTGGACTATTAATTGAGGAATTTGAATAGAGGGGTAAAATGATTTGTTGTTAATGTTTTTATTGACAATAATAACACAAACATCATTTTAATATTTCTTTTTAATATATAAAAACAATGATATTTGTGGATGAACTGATACAACGCTACTTCATGTCAGATAACGGATCCCTCTAAACATCTCCATCTTTGAAAATATTTTGGACTATTAATTGAGGAATTTGAATAGAGGGGTAAAATGATTTGTTGTTAATGTTTTTATTGACAATAATAACACAAAAATCATTTTAATATTTCTTTTTAATATATAAAAACAATGATATTTGTGGATGAACTGATACAACGCTACTTCATGTCAGATAATGGATCCCTCTAAACGTCCCCATCGCACAGTTACCTTTATTTACATACTTCAAATAAAGTCTAAAATATGTTTTATGTTCTTGCTCTGAGTTACATTAACTCTGTTTACTTCTTGTAAGTTTCATATCTGCGTTTTCGCTGCATTCATGTACTGCTGGCAAACCTTTGCCTCTTTCTTTCTTTGTTTTTCATTTGATAAGGTTGAAGTTATTATTCTATATATAATCCTGGACAAAACTAAAGTAAGTTTTAACTTTTAGCATATATATATATCAGGATTCAGACAATAACACACTCCGAAATATAGTTGATACACAGTCACTTTTATTGAAGACACACGAGATAACCAAATGTGTACAAATTATTTGCCTCCGTCTCCTTCAAAAAAAAAAAAAAAAAAGAGTTCAAAAACGTTCCAGTTCCTCAAGTTTTATCCATGAGAGTGTATATAAATTAGTATTATATAGATAGAGGCTGCCTGGCCGGCATAAAATATAAAAAAAAAATATTTATACTGACCGAAGTATCTTTAATTTTAAGTACTATTGATCAGTAGTTAATTAGTTGTATTTTGTAAAAATGGAAAATACTAGGCTTTTTCTCAACTGCTTATTTTGCATCCTGTTGTGGGTATATCAGTTGCAAAGCTTCAAATCAATTGAAATCTGTTCTGTTAAAATTCCTAGTAATAACTCTGAGATATACATCTCTTAGAATTATATTCCAAGTGTCCTTCCTATGGCCTTGTTTGAATATATTCAGCCTAAATTGGCACCAGTCCACACGACAGTTTTTATGGCTTTGTCTGCCACTGAATCTCGCCCATTTGGTGAGTTGGATGTATCTATGTGTTTCTAGGGTACTTGATGGACGAGTGGTAAAACCTTCGGTTTCCGATACCAAAGACCTGGGTTCGAATCCCGCATTGTACACTTTTTTTTTTTTTGTGTTATACATATATATTGCCACGTAGAAAATAATAAATAATATATATAGATTGTAACTTATATATAATATATTTTTTGAATTATTATCATATTATTTTGAGAAATCGAGAAGCATGAAATTAGATTTTGAGCCATAAGAGATTATGATTAAAATTTACTTCAACAACATAAAAAAAAACTTCAGGATGACACAGCTCTCTTTCTCTTTATAATTATATCTATTTATTCGTATATTTATCATTATATAATCATACTAGCGGATGTACCCGGCTTCGCCCAGGTTTTTCTCGAAGGAATGTTTGTAGTCTAGTAATAAGAAACTATACTACACCTAAAAACTATCAGAGAAAAGAGAAACCACGGAAGGTGAACAGAAAAATGCTTACAATGGATGTTATGTTTACGATATCAAGTTAAATAAAAACAAAGATAAAATTTGCATATGTTGGTCACTATAAATTTGTATATTTGTTAGGCGAAATTAGAAACATGATAAAACAATTGGGTATTTAAAAACAAATGTAGAAATAAAAGTTGAAGTATAATAAACAATGTTAAAGATTAGTTTTAATTATTAATCAAGATTGTGTGTGGATATGTGAGAAAGATGTAATATCGTTGTTGTTTTCTTGGCAGACTGTTTTACATATGGTGTTATCTTAAAATTGCTTGTTTTGAATATTTTTTAGATTGAGATTATTAGCTAGTATGTAAAAAATTAACTCTGTTGAAATTTAATTTTGTATTTATATATAAATAAAATTAACTCTGTTGATTTTTTTTGTATTTAATCGATAACAGCGAAGTTACGCATGTTAATGTTAGGAAATATATTTTGATGTTAAGCAAAACCTGCGCCATCTCGTTTTACATAAATGTTGAAAATTTGGTTGAAATTGATGCATTGTAACGAAAGTTTTTAGTGATGTCCACTTATGAAATTTCCATTTTATTAATATAGATTTATTCATATTTATATTTATTCTGTATTTAACCTTATATAATCTTATATGTACATTGAAATAAATCAGTTTCAATCTCTCTCTCTCTCTCTTGAGGTAACCCGGATTCCTGGAGCGTTCTAAAGTCGCTAACTATCCGGCATGATTACACAGCAATTTTTTTAAGGCAAGAACAAACTATGAATGATCGACAAAAGTTAAACAATGAGGGAAGTTTACCGAGTAGCAAATATATAAACATAAAAAATGATACTCTGTTAATAAAATAATAAATACTTTGCTACAATATGATTATCTTCAAAAATTGTATGCAGACTGTGCAACTTTGCATGTATTGACAAGATTCTCAATAAATTTATTTTAATTGTCAATTGTCTATGTGCAACTGATAATAATGTAATTGATGAGTTGAATATCGTAATATGAATCTTTCCTACTTCACCTGACAACTTCGGTAATTTTAAAGCTCGAGGAAATTTTCTCAAATAAAGTTATTTTTCTTTATAATCATCAAATTCTTTTTGTGCCCTTCGACTGAACCGTTTTTGTTAACTGCGGTGAGAAATAATTAAAATCATGTTTGTAGATATCATCTTCCGATTACCACAACTATGTTGTAAGATTATAAGCTCAAAAGAAGCTTCTTCATGTTCTATTGAAGAAGCTCCTTTTGAGTTTATAATCTTACAACAAAAATCATGTTTATTTTAATCTATTTAATCTCTTTATATCAACAACAACAAAAGCCTTTATTGAGGACCTTTCGTCCTATAAAGGATTCGCCAGTTTACAGAGTAATTGAAAAGAAGAGAGCTAAGAATACAGAGAGAAACCTATATGTAGTAGGTATAGTATAGTATTTTCTACACTGTGACTATATACAACAGCAGCAGCAAGCCTTTTATTGGAATCAAAGTCCCATACAGGATTCGTCATTCTAATCCTGACAAAGATTATTTGCATATAATTATTTACATTAATTAGATTATGTATATAGCTTCCCCTTCTCTTCAGCCGTCTTCCAAAATTTGAACAACGCAAAAGCTCCAGCTCTGTTTCTCACCACCTCATTCAACAGGAGCTCCAAAGAGAGTCGCCCAAGGCCTATTTCACTGAGGAGCTCTTCTCGTTCGTCTTTCAGCCCCATACATGAGAGTATATGGTGATGTAGCCCCGGCTCCATTCTTGTCCTGCAAATCTCGCATGTCCATCCGTCTGTTTTGAATATTCTGGGGCGATCATCAGTAACGAGCACCGAGAGGATTCTCAGTCCGGCAATACACCGTTAATATCTTTATATCCTTATTTGAAATTCAAATTTTAGCGTTATCTATCTGTAAAAGCGTTATATTGTAACCATTATTAGCGCAGTAATTATTTTTTCCTATTTTTGTGAGTGAAATTTTACGCTATATAAAGATTTCAGCTGTCTGGTAGATCAAATTGGCGAGGCCGCTGGGTATGTTCACCACTAAAGAGTAAAGCTTTCCAAAATATATATTACCACGTGGAAAATTAGGAAAGACAAACTTCAGGATGACACATAAATTTACTTAAGACAAGAACAAACTATGAAGGATGAACAAAGATAAGCAATGAGGGAAGTTTACAGAGTAGTAAAATATAAACATAAAAAATGATACCCTGTTAATACTAGTGTAAAATAATAAATGCTTGTAAAATATTAAATACTTCTCTACAATGTTTTCATCCTTTTCATATAAAATGGAAGGATTTAAAAGCACGAATGTTTCTTTTATACATAATACAAACTTCTACTGCCCTTACTGCGATGAAAAAATATATTAGGAGGGCTTGGCTAATCAGTGGTGAACCCTCCCAGCGGTTTCGCCAATTTAATCGACCAGACCGCTTCTCAGAGCTCTAATACTGTATTGGACGATTCTGCTTAAATTGGCGAAACCGCTGGGAGGGTTCACCACTGATTAGCCAAGCCCTCCTAATATATTTTTTTCATAGCAGTAAGGGCAGTAGAAGTTTGTATTATGTATAAAAGAAACATTCGTGCTTTTAAATCCTTCCATTTTATATGTATAGATGGCGCGTTATTGCTTTGTGTTGATTTTCATCCTTTTGCTTACGGGTTGTGAAATTTTACTCTTTAAAAATAAAACAACACTAATTATTGTTAATAATAATGATGTTATTTCATACACACAAACATCATTCTCAAGATACCCAATATGATCTTCAAATGGTCATCAAATCGATGAAAATTGGTGAAATTTCGAACACATTTTTTATACATAGATAATTAACAAATATTTTGGCAAACCTTTCTCATACTGAATTGAATAAATGTTCTGATAGAGAGAACATGTCTTATCAGTTGTGAATCCTTTCAGTTGTTCGGTTTGTTTTATATGTTGTTTGGATTATTATATATACGGTAGAACCTCCCTTTGGCGGACGCCCCGCTAGCGGACACCTCTCTACAAAGAACAGTTTTCATTTGCAAAATTACCATTTTTACAATTTAGCAACTCTCCGGTAAGAGGACACCTCTCTACAAAGAACAGTTTTTATTTGCAAAATTTCCATTTTTACAATTTAGCAACTCTCCGGTAAGAGGACACCTCTCTACAAAGAACAGTTTTCATTTGCAAAATTACCATTTTTACAATTTAGCAACTCTCCGGTAAGAGGACACCTCTCTACAAAGAACAGTTTTCATTTGCAAAATTACCATTTTTACAATTTAGCAAATCTCCGGTAAGAGGACACCTCTCTACAAAGAACAGTTTTCATTTGCAAAATTACCATTTTTACAATTTAGCAACTCTCCGGTAAGAGGACACCTCTCTACAAAGAACAGTTTTTATTTGCAAAATTACCATTTTTACAATTTAACAACTCTCCGGTAAGAAGACACCTCTCCCTAAAGGATACTTTGGCTCTGCAATTAGGTGTTGTCCTTCTTTACAGGGAGGTTCTGCTGTATATAATTCAGACACACACCTATATATTCAATTACCCATACCAAGCGCCGATCAATTATAAACAAGTTTATCTAAAAAGGGGAAAATCTTTAATATATTCAAACGCATATTAAAATATTTATCTGCCTCACAAGTGACAGAAACTTCAAAAATATGTAAATATTTATTAATTTATTTTTTTAATTTGAAAAACCTTAGGTATAAATATGTTGAATATACACAACCAAAAATATTAAATTCATAAAACATCATAAAAAATATATAAATATTTATATATTATGATTTTAAAAGTTTTAGTTTTATCTTTTATTTTTGATATAAGAATATCTGGTCAGTTGTTTATTTTTGTTTTTGGACAAGTACATGACGTATAAAAGCCAATTTTTAAATTCTTTTCCTATCCTAAATCTTGCTGTTGAATATTCTTAATATTTATACAATAAGATTGTTTACCTCAAAATATAAACTTCTTTATACTCATTTTGTTTCTCTTATTATTCTGAATATATTTATTTTTACATATATTTATTTTTTCTAATATCTTTTCACACACATATATATATATTTAAAAAAAAAACATATATTTAAAACACATATTTAAAACATGAATTCAAAACATATATTTAAAACACATATTTAAAACACATATATATATGTCGAATCCTGTCGTTGTGGAATCCTATAGAATTAATCTATGGTGTGAGATCCTGTCAACTCTCGCTATACTGTGTTGACCGAGAGGAACAGTCAGGGCGTGGAGAGTTTTCCAGTACCTCTCTGCACCTTGGGAGACCTTTAACAGTTCTCACAGAGCACAGGCAGAGTGGAAAGCTTGGGAATGTCCATACACAAAAAGCAAAGAGACACAGTTGTACTAGGAAAGTTCCGTGAACAGATAAAAGTCGAGCTAAGAGCAAGATGGAGATTTGAGAAAAGTTCTTACTGGTCTACATGGTCGATGAGGTGGACCTTGGACACAACCGACGAGGGCCCCCGCTGATGGTGATTTAACTATTTATTTTTGGCCCTGTTGGAGACTTATATATCGTTGCCGAGAGGAAGT